AAGTGGGTGAAGGCAGGTAATAGAAAAACTAAAACAGTCTGGTAAGTTCAGAAAATGACATCACTTTACTGTAACGCAGCCTTTAAAAACAGGAAAAGACAACACTTACGATATTCTGATATCCAAAATCTACAATGGTATCAGGTCTCGTATTACGATATCAATATAACATAGATATATTATGTAGCTCTTAGTACTTTGGGGGCGGCATACAAACTCGACCATACAACTGGCTTTCCCAAATGTCCATTTTGACTTGTGGCCTCAGTACTGACATCGTGCCTGGCCTCATAACAGACTTGAATTGATTAAAGGTGATGTGGACTACAGCACTGATCCATCAGTGTATCTGCCTTTTGTTAAGCTGTAATGTATGTGGGTACCCTACGGCCTCCATGAATGACATTCCAATGCATTTCAAGAGACTAACACGCAACACAGTATTTGCCAACACGTGTATGACCTTCCATGTTTGGCTTTATGAATGCGTCTCCTCTGAAGATGAATTTTTTCCTAAGGATAAAGCTGCTCTCACAGTCTGAGGACAAAGCTCGCAGCAATGCCCTTACAGCAGCAAAGTGACAGTATTCATGCTAAAATGTTACATGCCCACAAGCAGCAGTGGAATTAAATTAATATCAAAACACTGTACCATATTTCATATCTGTGCAAAGAATCCAAGAAATAAAAACTTGAGTCTCTGCTAGAAACTAAAAACTATGAAATTGCTCGAGCTTAGATGTTTAAAATATTGAATCATTTAATTAAGCAAGTAATGGGAGATGATATACAAGGAGTCCTGATGCCATCACCCTTGATACACCATGTCAGATTAATCCCAGTGTAGTAGCACAGTGTGTTGTCATATCAAAATACTGTTGATGAATGCCTGTTAGTATGTATGTTCTGCTGTCACTGCACAGCCTTAAGCCATATGTCACGCTGACGCAGATCCTGAAAAGCCTGTTGGGATATAGTGTAAATACATTACCCCACATGAATGAAAGCTGTGGCTCTGACTCATCTTGCTCTGACACTAAATGCATAATTATTATGAGCTATTGAAAAAGAAAGGTCGTATACATCAGGTCACTGTAAGATCAGGTCCTTTTCAAAAAATCTGATTATCTCTTTATTGTGTGAAACAGTTACGGGTATTATTTAGGGCCGTAACGGTACATGTATTTGTGTCGAACCGACTTTCGGTTCGACACGACCCTGTACCGAATTATTGGGCGCAGGATATTATTTTATTTTATTTTGTTTTATTTTAATTCCGTTTTTGCGAGCCGAACCATTTAAAATATCTAGTTCCCCTACGGACATAATTGAGTGACGGACCGAGTCAGACCGTAAATCTCCGCTTTCACTTTGTGCAGGGCATTCTTGCATTTTGACAACATGGCAAGTGAGCCTGATGAACCTGAAGACCCACCCGCAAACAGTCCTCCGTTTGGGAACACTTTGGTTTCAGGGTAAAATATGAAGATGGAAATAAACAAGTGGACAAGACAAAAGCAGTGTGCTGACACTGCAGAACAGCGGTCGGGTATGTACTTGGAAACACATCTAACATGAAAACGCATCTAAAGCGACACCACCCGAGTTTGAACGTTAACCGGCACAACTAGAAAAAGCAATCTGGTGCAAACTACGATATCGTCGTCGTTCAAAAATAAAGAGCGTTTCCCTGACCATCGCGCTAAAGAAATAACCAACGCCATTGGAGGTGAGTAAAATTGTTTAAGCTGCACTTTAGATATAAGCATGTTTTGTTTACTGCACTTTAACAAAGTGGGAAAGCTAAGTAAGTTCCTAGTATAACTGAATCTGAGCAGGCTTTAAAGCTGACCAGCTGCACTATACTTTTTATTTTAATTGAGTAAAACTGTTAAAGCAGAAATGTATATTTACATTTTTCATTCAAAAAATGTGTTAAAAAAACAGTAGGATTTTATTTTTCACTTTTATATTTCTATTTTCATTCAAACAATGTGAAAAAGCAGGATTTTATATATATATTTGTTTCATTCAAAAATTGTGTAAAAAGAGTTAACTGCTGTGGTGGTATGTTTTAATAAGGTTACCAATAAGTAAAAGATATTTAATAGTTGTCTATTTTTTTCATTACTGTACCGAAAAAAAACGAACCGTGACTTGTGTACCGAGGTACGTACCGAACCGAGATTTTTGTGTACCGTTACACCCCTAGTATTATTTTTAACTTTAATTGTATATTCTCCTCAGCTCAAGGCCAGAGATTAGAAAACCTGCAGATTTTTTGCCAGTGTCAGGTCATTTAACTTCTTGCCTTTCTGCAATGATGTAGAAGTGTACTGCAGGGTGTGTCAGTACATTGTGATGTCACTGGCGGGTGTTGACACAGACCACACATTTGTCCACAGGCCCTATAAACAAGGGGTTTCAGCTGAGGCAGTTTCCTATGTCCTGCATCACACAGAGTATTGTGTGTCTGATGCGCGTTCCCATCAGCTTTCACTGGGTTGTTGGTAGTCTCACCATTTGGATAAAGTAGCAAAACCGTAACCAAGATGTTGTTTATTAACCTCATCTTTACCTTAACCCCAAGAATAAACCTACACGATATCACATGACTGACTATAATGATCACTGAATTACAAAGAAACACTTTTGCTCCTTGTACTCCTGGCATGGCTGCAACCCTGACTAGACTCCTGCAGATTTTCAAATGACTTTTACCTCACAGCTAATAAATTCTCAGATTGACTGTCATAACATTACAGTGGAAGATATGCACAACTAAAATATAAATATAAAATATCTTGACATTTGGACTAAATTATGTCCAACAACATGTCCTGCAAATGTTCAACGTGAGGCATAGGTAAATCGTACTGCTTCTCAGATTAAAACTTGGTCGTTTGGAATGAACAGGTCTCACCACTGACACGGTACACAGCCCCAGAGTGAAGTTGTAGGTGTAAGTTCCCCGTGTGGCTGTGAGGTTGGCACTGAGCAGTGTGAGCACAGCTTCAGGCATGTAGACAGTGACTATCAAGTCCTCCACTGTCTTCCCCAGTGTCTGCTTGGGTCTGACTGTGATGTCCAGGCGACCACAAGGTCCTGTTTCAAAGAAACTGATGCTCTGAGAGCTGACATGATAGTTCATGAGTGTGAAGTTTCCATCTGGCGGGATGAAAGCGAGGACGCATGTGTCGGTTATATACAGGGGGAAGGCCGATGTGAAACTGTGGCGAGGCAAGCACTGATTCAATCTGTGTTTTTCATCAGATAATAATGAGATACAATCTCAGTCTAAAGTTAAAATTACAAGTTATTGATTGAAATGCTCAATATAATCTGATGACTACAAGGACTGAAAAGTCAAGTGTTTACATTGATTAAAACTATACAAAAATAGTTACCATTCTCTGACTAAAATATGACTAAAATGCCCAGTCAACTAAGACTCCGCGGAGGTCCACGCAGACTAAAAGCGGATGTCCGCAAGCCCTGTGCGTGCAAAGCTCAGATTTTACGACCGTTCCGCGCACCAGTGTCACTCAAAAGACTGCTCGGCATGTATTTTTCACATCGCCATGACAGAAACGTGCAAGAATTGGGGGTAATGTAGTGTTTCACGGACATTTTTATAGGAAACTGCAACACGGAAGTGCACTCAACGCTCCGCTTATAGTGCGCCCGAGTCTGTGAGCACCTTAAATTAAAACCCTCGGCACACACTGCAGCACAATCAAACAGATGTGAAACTCAGAGCATCAGAAGTGTCTCTGACACCAGACTCAGAGTGGCTTTGAGTGCGCTCGTGGCTCGTTGATGGGGTTAGTGTTGCGTTTAAGGCCTCCCCCCAAAAAATGGGAAAAAAAAGCGCAGAAGCTTCGAATTTTTTTTTTCACAATCAAATCCCGTGCCATCGAACGAAGCTTCAAAGCTTCGAATTTTTTGGGTCAGCCCTAATTTCTGTATCAATTAAGTCAATCACACATTCACTCCGCTCAGCGCTCTGCTGCTCAATCTCCACAGACAGCGTCTAGAGTGCACTCTGCCACTCCGAGAGTGCAGTGCTCTGGATAACTCAACGGTACGTTTCAACAGTGCTCTGAATTTACAAACAGTTTGTGCCAGAATGCACTTCATCTTCCTCCATTGTCCGAAAACAAGCCAACAGAACTTGCTAGCTAGCCTTAGCTATTGTCTTTGAGAATTGTTTTGCCTCTGGCTAAGCCCCGCCCACCAAAAAACATAACACTGTTTACTAACATTAAAAGGCTCTATAACCAATCGTAGGTTGTTAGAGTTCAAGCTGTGTCTCTAAGACAGAAACTGGATTATGTTGCACATTACACAGTTGTCAATCCATGATACTTTGTCATCACTTAATTTAGATATCAAGTATACAAAGTAATATAATACTGTATGTATGATGTAATATAAAAATAGTTTGATAAACTAATAAATAAAGCTACACGGTAAGCAGAAGGCTTCAGATAGACCCTGTAATCAGTGATGGGTGATCGGCTCCAAAATCTTGATCGGAGCACCATAAACAACAATAAGTGTAGTGTAGCTCAGGGACACAGGGCCTCTGGAAAAAGTGTTTGTTCAAATGTGACCTAAAGAGGATTACACTGTGAATGTTACCATTCAAACCATGGATATACAGCACTTTATCTTTATATGTAGCTTTATACACACATTATTTTTTATAGTAGTACAAAAGGTCTTCACTTCCAATGATTAATCAATTGATACACCCTTATTACAGTCCAAATCATTTAACTTTACTGTAAATCCACTGTGCTTCAAAATTGTAAGTGTTTCCCCAGTGTATAAAACACTTTAGAGAGGTTGCCAGTGACAGTTTCATGAAGCAGCCTTAGGGAAATCCTGAATTATATTAGTCTGTGAAAACAGCCGCTGCTATAAGCGACTTTTTGAATTGAGAAACTCATAGTTCTGTGGAATGTATGAATGCCAGTGTAATGTCCTGTCCTCACAGATAGATCGAGATTGCACAGTACTCGAGGTAGAAAACGCTATAGTGTGCCGCTTCATCAACAAAGCAAGAAGTCCTCAAACTAAGTTTGCCAATCATGGTTCAGCTGGTGTCATGGTAATCAGTTTTGTATTCTGGTGAGTGAAATATGATGTATGAGCATCTGCTTTCCAAATGAGTTTACACTGGAGTCAGGGCCCGATATCTCTGGGCAAAGGTAATCATTTCTTGTTCTGTCTTTTAAGCTGAGAGATGGAAGAAGGTGCCGCAGAGGTGGGAGAAAGCCAGATGGATATTACGCTGACTTTTGAGGAATGGAAGGCAAACAAAAGGGTAACGGGGGAGGAAGGTAAACTCAATCTTCCATTCCAGAGGTTTTTTTTCCCTTTATATCTGTCATGGCTTTCATGTGCAGTGTCCTAATGAAGGGAGGCTGGTAAACAGAGAGGTGAAGAACAGACTCTCTGATGACATTTTTCTTTACACATGTGGCATCACAGCACATGCCAGTCACAAAGCAACCACGCAGAAGATGAGCAATGGAAAGGGAAAAGAAAGAAGAGAAAAAGTGAAGTTTGTGGTACTCTTCTCCCACTTATCCTTTAGTGTAAGGACATATTTCTGAAGCAAGGTTTTCAGAGGTCATTCTGTTATTAAAACTATTTCATTTTTTATTCTTAAAACTCTGAAGCCACTGGAATTTCAAAACTCTCAACTATAGAACATCACAGCTAAAGTAAATGACGAATAGGGGTGAGATATCTCGGGGAAGAATGTTTTCTGGTATGTCTTTTTTCAAAATACAGATGTTGATTGAACAAAAAGCTTCAATTATCTAACAATGAGCCATTCATTTCTGCACAGGGAGCTGGCCCTCGTTTATGGAGATGGTTCTATATTTGCCCAGAGCAGATAAACCAAACACTGGCTCCAAATAGAGCCATTAGGGTTTTCACTTACCCATTTTAGAAGCTCATCTGTGACAAGCAGCACCAGAAAAACACTGATTTGTGACATGAGACTGCTTTATTCAGTGTTTTTACCAGTTTAAATTACCTGATCCATTTCTTGTTGAGAAGAAGAGACCTTTGCGGATAATTCGGCACTTGACAAAAACACTGACCGAAGTGTAACTAGAAGTCTCAGCTGGTTGCAATCCGCAATTCCCATCGCTAGCTGCCACAAAATTCCCCTTAACACACTGGACCTTTAACTCTGCCAAAATATGCAGATGACATCAGTTAAAGTCTATGAGGGATCAGTGATGAAAGTGGACACAAAACAGACTGATGTTTGCTGTGAAAGAGGGCCTATAGAAGATGTACAAGACAAGAACAAGAATGTGAGTGTTACAGTGGAGAATTACCAAGATTTGACCCGTACAGTATTTTGCACACTGGTCAGTTTGTGCCACTTTGGGTGAGGATAATATCACGTCTATTTCTGCAGTGAATTTCTCCCTTTGTGATTTCTGAACACCCGTGCCAAGCAGAAGCTCTGAAGTGACACTCTCTGTGACTCTGGGACATACCAAAATATAGAATACTTGTTCTGTGTTCATGATTATGATTTCAGTAGCGGCTACATCACAAAGTGACATTCATTCGTCTGTGACAAAAAGATGAGGCTGGGAGCTTGGTGATGTAGAGACTTCTTACAGAGCTAGATGGTGAACTGATGTAGCTGGTGAGTTAACGGCGAACTTGGTAGGCAGTCATTCAGGCCATTCAAGCTTCTCCCTATTTTCTCTTTGCCATTGGCATTATGTTCACCATCATACACCATTTAGTAAGCCCTTAGCTTGTTAGCTTTGCTAGGTTGCCAATGGGACAATACATTCACACAGATTTTTTAAAATGCATACATGTACCATCAACTTCCATCTCATTGCTATCTGCAGCCCACCAATCTGTTGTTGAACTGTTTTGACTCCAACAGAGGAGATTAAATAAAAGTGAATGGTGCAATGCAGCTAATACAGCTTCCTCTATTTCAGACTTTCTGGCTCTCCATCCACTCAAAGGTCAGCACTGTCAGGACGGCTTGCGACTGGTCAACGGTGCAAACTGGAGTGTCAAAGTTCACTGAAGGTGTACTTAATTTCACCTCCTCCAATCATGGTGACTCCAATAAATGAACTGATTTTGAACTGACTGACATTTCCCTGTTTTGAATCCCAGTGTGTCCAGGCCTTTGGGGTTGGACACACCTGTCCACGTACAGCCACATTGTTCACAGAGCATGTCAAAGCAAAGCTAAGACATCTTATCCATGAATGTTATAGACCCCCAAGATGGAGCGGTTGTGAAATTCTATAGATCCAGGGAAAGTGAAGGATATACTGCTAACATATTTTAGGTTTTCAGGAGACTAGACAGCTTCTTCTTTGTGAAACATTAGATTTTAAGAGTCAGCAAGACTTTCAAAAACATCAAACTCTGGTAACCAGGCAACAAGGGCCTTGGCCAGTGTGGTGACCAAGAACTAAGAGCCTCAGAGTTCTCTGCAGACATGAGTAAACCTTCCACAAAGACAAGCATCACTGCAGCAATCCATCAATCTGGCTTTTATTCTGTTGTGGCCAGACGGAAACAACTCCTGAAGGAAAACAAAACAAAAAAAGCATGCATGTGACATTCTGTCTGGAGCCTGCCAAGTGGCAAAACAGTCCTCTGGTCTGAGGAGAGAGGAAGTGAACTGAATGCAAGCGGTGTGTCTGGCAAACCATCAAGGTAAAACCACCCTGCAGGAGAGGGATGGTGGGGATAGTATTACCGCTACTCAGCGGCATGTATTTAGAAACTTGTAAGGATTGGAGAAATAATGAACACAGTCAAATATAGTAAAGTCCTCAAAGAAAACTTGTTCCAAAACACACATGACCTCAGATTCAACAATAACCCAAAGCACAGGATCAAGAAAATGATGCAGTCTAAACATCCTTCACCTAAACCTGGGGATCAAAGCTCTCAGACACCACTCCCCTTGAATGGAGCCTGAGAGGATCTGCAAGGAAGAAAGGGAAAAATTTCCCAAATCAAGAGTAGCAAAGCTGACAGCTGAAGCCAAGACGACTCAGAGCATTTGCTTTGGCCATTTGCTAATGGTGCTTCCCCAAATTAGTGAAGAAAGGGTTCAGGCAGATATGTAATGTTTCCTTTTTTTTAAATAAAGCACAAAAGGGGGAAAAAAGAGCCACAAAGACTTCTGTGCAGATATTTGGGAGCCATGTATATGCCAATCCTGAACTTTTCTATGTTCCATTATTTGAACTGATTTAATATTTAGGGAATCATCTGACAATACTGTAGCAACCTCCAGGAGGAGTCTGCCACTGTCTCGTGCACAGCCCATATTTTATTGATGTTGTGGTGCCGCACTTTGCAGAAAATGCCCTGTGTGAGTTCTCTGGATACACAAAGGCCGCAGTCTTCAGTTGACTGTTAAATATTGCATTGTGATGAGCTGCCTCTCATCCACCACGGTCAAGGCACCAACCACGATTGTGGTTAACTCATGAATTAATCTATTCTGCTGCCTTCGGGCCTGAATGGAGAGAATGGAGCAATGTGTGATATGGATCCTCTGTTTTCTTGTTGTGGGAGGTGCACGAGACACAACAGGATCAAGGTCCGAAAGCATTTTATTAAATTCAAATCCAAATATCTGAATCCTTTCACATTCATTCACATCATTTATCTGATCTATTTTAGTTCTTGACAATCTGGAAATCCATCGGTAAAAAAAAACAAAAAAAACTGCCCCCCCCCTTCCAGCCCGGAGTTTTTCGACTAACGGAAGTGCAGGGGCCTCAGCGATCGCTCACGCCCTTCACTTCCGGCGGTGCCCCCAGGGAATCGTCGTGTTGTTTACAAATACTTTGGGTAGAAAACCAGCAGAGTTTAGCTATATATCACATTTTTCACGTCACTATATCACCGTTTAGACTAATCTGATGTTTGTTAAGTCTATAAACACAATGACTGAACAAACGTTACTATTTCTGTGTGCACGTTTTGTAATAATAACATGGTTATCGTAGATTAGCTGGGCTAACCGTTAGCTGTTAGCCGTTAGCAGTGTCTGTAATAACCAAGACTGTATAAAAATAAGGTAATAACTCATTAAACGGTCCGTGAATAAAATATTTTTTCCAGCAGATATCTTAGTTACAACATGATTGAGCTAGCAAAGCAGTTTTGTGTTGCTATGTGTGGTATTTATTCAGTTATGGGAAATCACAATGTCTAGAAAGCATCAGGACAGGGACAGTTAGCAAAGCTAACATCAGGACGTCATTTGTTAAAAGCCTCCCGTTGTCGGATACGACATGAAACTACTCCAGTTAGCTCAATCATGTTGTAACTAAGACATCCGCTGGAAACAATTTTTTTTTTTCACGTTGCCGAAACGGCGTTTTGGGTGGAGCGGTCGCTATGGACGCGGAGCTTGCTGTTTACGTAGGTACACATTTCCTGGGGACACCGGCACGTCTCGGCCACGCCCCCTCCATTGTGATTGGCTAAAGCGCAGCATCGTTCAAACTCAAAGCCCTGCCCTCCCCCCCTTTCTAGTCGTCTTTCACACAGGGCTGCCGACAGATTCTACAATGTAAATTGCAGAATCTGTCTTGAGAGATTAAGTGCTTGATAACTGAGTATTAAGTGATAGTTCAACATTTTGGGAAATACACTTATTCTTTTGCCATGTCATAGAAGTTGCTGGTTGCCTGGAGACCTCACTGTGAAAATAATCCAGCACATACCCCGCTGTAAAACCACAACCTGACATTTTAACGCTTTGTTCAAGATGTAACATAATAAACAGTGAGCCTTAGAGGTGCTGGTTTTATTTGGACTTTGTTACCTTTGGTTAGAGCCGAGACAGCTGTTTTCCTGTGTTTATTGTAAAATAAGCTCTGACTAGTATCAATCTTCTCGTTTTCCTCAAGAAAGAGAATAAAGGTGTCAAAAAATATTCAGCTATTGCTTTTAGAGCTTAAATTCCAAGATTGACATTTAGAGAACTAAAACTCTTGGTTAGATATATGATATTTAGCTAAATATGTGTTAATATTATTAAATCCTGTTGCCATTTTTTACAGTAAGTGGTTCAGTACTTGGGATTTTATTGCAGCTAATAAACTCTTATGGAAAAAGCGAAAAAGCAACATACATTTTTTTCTATTCCTCACAACCTTCCATCATAATTTGTGCCCAGAAATCCATGCAACTCTCCTCGAATGTCGAATAACTCATCTTGCTCTCACTGTGCTATGTAGTGATTTTTGCTAATTCGAGTCAGCAGTATTGTCATGTACAGTAGTCCAATGGCTGGTTGATATTTTATTGAGGTAAATACTAATCAAATGCAGCAAAAATGTACTTTATTCAATGAAATGCAACAAGAGTATTATACTTGAAAAGCCGTGTCCTGTCCTTCACTGATGGAATGGGGTTTGGCTGAGGTGAGTTAAGGTCCGAATCTTCTCTGCCAAGTTAATCCCTCTCCATACATGGGGATGAAAGGATAGTCAGGGCAGTAACATTTTAATTTGGAGATGGTACAGTAGCAACATTGTTTTAATGTTTTCAGAGCTTTACAGGGAAATCTTCCTCTAAGCTTCAGGCCACACAACAAAGCTATTCCTTTGATTTTGAATTACAGTAAAAGCCTGTATCCGACATTGAAGACAATTAAATTGTGTCATGCTGACCTGACATGTCGCCCACTCACTTTATTTAAGGAACCTGGCACAGCCCAGGAGGTCTGTCAAGGCCACAGTTCAATTATTCTTTGATGCCAAAAGCTCAGATAGAAACGCTCCAAGCTATGTGTTTGCAACGATTTGATTAATGCCCTATGCGTGTCATATTATCACACCCACACATGATCTCAGAAGTCATGAGTGAGCCATGTCTCATAACCTCTTCCCATATTTTTAACACAATAATTGCTACTTGTGACTTTCTCCGATGGCTCTGTCCTCACCTGACCTTCTATAACTAGGCTGACGCCTGACTGTGAAGCATAGGTACGTCAAGGCCCGCATGTTGCCCCGACCCATCAGCCCCAAACGTCCAATATAATCCCCCCCACCTTTGATCATGATTTCCTCCTAATCCGGTAGAAAGTGTTAGGTGAAGACAGCCAGAGGCAATATGTCTGCTCAGGGTAGGATACCAGTTTCCTCTTGTGGAGAAGCAGCGTTAATTACCTCTATTCGTTCACTGAAACTAACCCGAGTGACCAAAGTGAAAGTTAAGTCTCTGATTGGATGAATCAGCAGCATGGACTCGTTGAGTTCTTATTGATGTGAGCTGCGAGACACAGCTGGAGAGGCGGTGGAAGCTTGGGCTGCATCCTTTCTATTCAAACTTCATTATAACTGATTAAAGTGACTTTGCAACACCACATCATCTGGTCACATCAGATGAGTGGATTAGCAGAAGGGAGGGATTTTTTTTTTTTTTTTTATTCTGAGTTTTACATAGACTGTGCTTTTAATCCTCACATCTTACATTTTGTATGCAGCAACACTCTCACACACACACACACACACACACACACACACACACACACACACACACACACCCCATAACCACAATCACCGGCCACCACCCAGGAAGATCTGACCTTTTGTTCTCTGCTGGTAAAGCTGATAGAAGACAATGGACGCTGACAATGACACTAGAAGTCATTTGAAATAAACTTTAAAAAACTGCAGCCTCCAACATGCATTAATAGATTTCATTGAAAAATGTGACAGGATAAATGGGTAGAGACCATGAACAGATGGAAATACATCATCTACATTCCTGAAATATTGAAATTCACATTCAAGTTCACATTCTAATTCATATTCAAATGACTAAATAAGGGTTCAAAGTGGCTTAATGCCCAGTTCAGACCACAGAATCACGACAAGAGGAGTTGAAACAGGCAACAACTTGCAATGTGCCGTTCTGCAACGTTCAACTTGTAGCTTCTTAAAATATGAATGAGGATAGTGATAGTGAGATACTGGCTATGGTTGGATTTGTAGTAGTGATGAAATGGCGAAAACATAAACAAAATGAGCATCACATGGACTGTATTCATAATAAATACACGTCCATATTATAAATAACCATAAATTGATTG